GCCATTCAGATGGTTGTCTGTTTACCTTGTTGATGGTTTCTTTTGCTGAGCAGAAGCTTTTTAGTTTGATGTAGTCCCATTTATTTATTTTTGCTCTTATTTCCTTTGCCTTTAAGGTCAAATTCATAAAATCCTCTTTAAGCCCAAGGTCCTTGAGTTTAGTTCCTATGTTTTCTTCTATGCATTTTATTGTTTCAGGTCTTATATTCAGGTCCTTAATCCACTTTGAGTTAATTTTGGTATGTGGTGCTAGACAACAGTCTAGTTTCATTCTTTTGCAGGTGACTTTCCAGTTCTCCCAGCCTCATTTATTGAAGAGGCTTTCCTTTCTCCACTGTATGTTTTTGGCTTTTTGGGAGAACATTATTTGCCCATATAAATATGGGTTTACTTCTGGACTTTTGATTCTGTTCCACTGATCCATATGTCTGTTTTGCTGCCAATACCATGCCGTTTTGATTATTGTCGCTTTGTAGTATAATTTGAAGTTGGGCGTAGTGATGCCTCCCGCCTCATTTTTCTCAGGATGGCTTTGGCAATTTGGGGTCTTTTGTGCTTCCATACAAATCTGATGTTTTTTGTTCTATTTCTTTAAAAAATGCTGATGAGATTTTGATGGGATTTGCATTAAATCTGTATAATGCTGTAGGTAATATGGTCATTTTAATTATGTTGATTTATCCAATTCAAGAACACGAAATATCTTTCCATTTCTTTGTATCTTCTTTGATTTCTTTTAATAGGGTCTTGTAATTTTCATTATATAGGTCCTTCACATGTTTTGTTAAATTTATTCCTAGGTATTTTATTCTTTTTGTTGCAATTGCAAAAGGAATTATTTTTTCCACTTCTTTTTCTGACACCTCATTATTAGAGTATAGGAACGCTGTGGATTTTCGAACATTGATTTTGTATCTAGAAACTTTACTGTATTTGTTTATTGTTTCTAGTAGTGTGAAATTGATTTTTTAATATGGTGTGAGTTAGCACAATTACCTTTCCTCAACACACAGAAGATCAGTTGTATTAGCATCATGTAGTTCTGCCTTCTTCAACTAATTAGCAGTGCTAGCGCTGTTGTAAATCAAGTTCTTTATATTTGCGGGTTCCTTTCTTATATCTCTATTCTGTTAATGTTGATCTGTTTTCTATGCCTGTACCAATATCATGTTTTCTTAACTACTATAGCTTTGCGTTAAATTTTCATGCCTGTCTGTTTGCCTTGGTCTTCACAAGTACCTTGACTTTCTTGGCCTTTTGTTCAGTGACAAATTTAGAATATGAAAAAAAGTATTGTTTGTAAGTGGAATTGCATTAACTTTGAGGAAGAATTAATGTCGTTATGTTGTTCTTTCTTTCCCTGAATTCATCATATTGTGGTCTCCTGTATATTCTTTCAGTAGTTTTATTTTTAAAAATAATGGTTGTACAAATCTTTAGTCAGATTGATGCATAAGTACTTTTCTACTTTTCCACTGCTTTTTTAGGGGATAAATGGTATTTTTTAAATCATATTTTAGAGGTGTTATATTGACATACAGTTCATTTTAAATTGATATGGTATTAGTGTTGCTAAACGTTTTTATTCTTAAAATTTATCTGTAGGTTCTTTGGGGGCTTTCCTGAAAATAAACATATATCTTAATCATTCTTTAGGTCTCAGCTGAATTTTGACTTCTTAAGGGAAGCATTTTCTGATTAGACCCCTGTTATACAGTCTCACTGTTCATTGTAATTGGAGGAAAGGGAGTGTTATTTTTGCTTTTTATTGTCATCCATAATTTAAAATGTTTGGTAGTTCTTTTTCTTTTCATTCTTTCCTCTTTCCATCCTTTCTTTTCCCTTCCGTTCCCTTGATTTTCTTCCCTCCCCACTTGCCTGCCTTCTTTTCTTCCTTCCTTCACTCCCCTCTTTTTTCCCTTTCTTCTTTTTTCCTTGTAGTATCATTTCCCTTCTACCTGAAGGACTTAATTTTTGTTTTTTATATATGACACATAGGCAAAATTATTTAAAGTCAACTTTTACTTGAGGATTTCACATGTTGTGATTCCTTCCACTGGCTACCACCTTAGTTCCTCCAAAGTTTGAGCCATAATTTTCAGGATAGCCTTTTTAAAACTTTGTTTAACCCACATTTGTCATGTCAGTCCACAGTTCTTTTAGTTGGGCTTCCTTGATCTCCTCTTGAATATGGACAAACTGATGACATACTTCAAAAATTTCCCACCTATAATCTTTGGGATTCAGTTTCTTCAAGCATTTTCCTTTACGGACACTTTTAGGTTCAGAGTAGATCTTCCTGGTTTTCAATTTCAGACACCCTCTAAGTATTGAATAAGTTTCATATTCACCCTTCAGCTATTACACCCTAGAATAGTACAGATCTTTGGAGTATATCAGTACCTAATATTTAAAAAAGTAACTGTTAGATGTTTTATGTTTTTAACGTCTCTGTTTTGTGGTTCTTTCCCACAGATTTACCATAGTTCTATGAGTAAAGCAAAGTACATATTTATTCTATGAAGCATTTATAATGATGTGGGTCTACAGAAAAAGCTCCATCAGGATAGACCTAAACTAAAAAAATATTTTGTAATGCACTTTTGATGGCGATGAATTCTTTTAGGCCTTGTATGTCTGAAATCTTTTATTTTTGAAAGATTTGCTAGTATAGAATTCAAAGTTAACAGTTTTTTGTCTTAGTACTTTAAAGATTTTGCCCCACTGTCTTCTACTTAGATAATTTCTGACAAAAAGTCTTCTATCATCTTTATATTTAGTCCTCTTTATGTAATGTAACTTTCTCTAGACACTTTTAAGATTTTTTTGGTCATTGGTTTTACATATTTTGATTATGATGTGTCTTGGTATAATTTTTTTCATGACTCTTGTGCTTTAGATTTCTTGAGCCTCTTGAAATGTGTGTGTTTATAGTTTTTATCAAATTTGGTAACTTTTTATCTATTATTTCTTTAAATATTTATTTTGTTTCTGTTCTGCTTCGAGGACTTCAGTTACACATATATTAGGTCACCTGAAGTTGTCCCACAGCTTACTGATACTCTTCATTTTTTTACAAAATTCTTTTTCTTTCCCTGTTTTATTTAGGATAGTTTTTTAAGTTCACTACTCTTTTCCTCATCGTGCCAGTTACTCTACCTTTTACATACAAAATGTGATTATCTGTTTTAATGTCGTCAACTAATACTATCATCTGTGTCATTTCTGGCTCTCTTTCTATTGATTATTAGTTTTTTCCCTTCTCTCCATTATGTATTTTATTTTTCTGCTTCTTTTCAGGCCTAGTAATTTTTACTTGGATGCCAGTCTTTAGAAATTTTACCTGTTCAGTGTTATATATTTTTTGTATTTCTGTTAATACTCTTCACCTTTCTTGGGGGAAACAGCTGAGTTACTTAAAAGCTGTGTGATGTTTGAGCCTTTTGACACTTCCTTTTTTTTAACTTTTAAGTTTTGTTAGAACCACAGTAGCCTTTAGGGTTAATTTTTACCAACTACTGAGGCTGTACTCTACTGAGTCCTTTATCCATACCTTCTCCATTACAGTGATTTTTCTACTTTGGCTTGTGGGAATATCTCTGTGTGACTCTTGGAGATTGTTTCCACTATTTGGTTTCCTAGCCTCAGGTAGTTTCCTCACAAGCTATGCTGATCAGTACTTAGCTGAAGACTCAAGAGAGATCCTCTTCAGATCTTAAGAACTCTCTCTTTGCAGCTAACTCCTGTCTGGTACTCTAGCCTTCTCACTCTAACCCTCTTGGCCTACCCAGACTCTTAGCTACTCTTCCTCATCTCAGAGATTTCTGGGCTCACCAGGACTCCCTCTCCCTGCATTACAACCTGGAAATTCCTTCAGTCTGTAAGCAAGGACAGTTGTAGGGCTCACATCAATTCTTTCTCTTCTCTCAGGGCTTATTGTCTTACAATGCTTGATATCTTGTATCTGAAAAACGATTGTTTAATGTATTTTATACATTTTCAAAGATGATTCAAGTGAGGTGGAAGGGGAGCGGGTCCCTACTACTCGATCTTGGTTGGAAGTAGAAGTCCTAAGATTTCATTTTTAAAATTATATTTTGGTTGAGAAGATGAAAAAGCATTCCTGATAAAGAGCTTTGTGTCACTATTCAGTGAAGGCTTGACTACTGTTTAAGACATTACATGATATGCAATACACAGAAATATTAGATCTTTTCTCAGCAATTAAAGGTCACTTGCAAAGAAACAAAACAGTCCAAGTCAACAAATAAATTTCAGTTCATATATAGAGTCATCATAGCTTTGATTTTATTTTACCTAAAGCAAAAAATTGGAAGATTTTCCTTGAATTCCCATCCTTCAAGATTCCTGAGAATGTAATAGACCTATACATACAGTAGCCATTTACCTTCTCAGCTGAGGTAATAGTTTTACTAATTAGTATTTCTTACTCCCAAAGTCTGTGTTTTGTAGCATAGAATAGTATATTATCTCTCTGTTGTTTAACCTGGCTTAGTAAATTAAAGACATTATAGTACATGTGCTAATGAAAATAGGAAGTTTTTTTTCAAGGTCAGAATGCTAAGAGAGACTGCTTGAGTCATATGAAATTTTCAAACTTTTCTACTAGGATAAAGGCAATGTAGTAAAGCTGAAAGAATATGCTTGTGAGAGTGAAGGACCCTGGTTTTAAGACATTATTCTTCACTTTTTACCTGTATCACTTTGGTCCAGTTAGGTAAAGTCTATGACATACTGTTCGTATTTAAAAGTGAGGTCTTTAAAAGATTATTGGTTTACTTGAAGAAGCATTTTAGTTAACAAATATACTACAGAAGAAATGAATAAAATAGGAAATCACAATTAGAACATCACAGCAATAGATGCTACAGGCAGTATCCATGGATGAATACTATAATTAATGGGCACAAATTTAAAGACAAATATATTTTCATATTCTGAAAGTATTTCTTTCAAAACATGTACTATTTAAAAAGGGAAAATAGTAATTTACAGTGGAGAGAATTCACAGATAGACCAACTTAACCAAGATCAAGGTTAATATCACCTATAATAAGACATATCATTACATGCACTCATATTGGAATACATCCATCATATATGATGCACTTGAGAAGGACACATCACCTCTGTGGTTAGGTGGCTTTTAAAATCCATAACTTTATTCATGAGAAAATATCAAACATAGTCAAATTGCAGGACATTATACAGTGTAGTTATATCAGTGTCACTAATGACATCAGTGTTGTGAAAAACAGGGAAAGACAGATAAAGTCTGAGGCTGGAGAAGACTAAGGAAACAAAACTAAATGGATCCTGGAATAGGAAGACAGTGGAATAACTGGTAAAGTCTGGATAAAGTTGTTAAATTACTATCTAATTTCTTAGTTTTGATACTTGTACTATAGTTATATAAGATGTTATCACTAGGGAAAAGTGGGGTATATGGGAATACTAATATTTTTACAGCTCTTCAGTAAGTTTATAATTGTTTTCAAATAAAACGTTTTTAAAAAATGAGAACAGCATTTGTGGACAGAGCTTGTTAATATGTAATTGAATTAAGCTTTTCATTGGCAAGGACCTCATTTTCGTAACGTGTGACATTTGTTTCTCAAGAGCAATTTAGTTTTTATACTGAAAACATGTACAGTTGACTCTTGAATAATGTGGAGGTTAAGGGTGCTGACCCCTGCACAGTTGAAAATCTGCATGAAACTTTTGACTCCTCGGAAACTTGACTACTAATAGTCTTTTGTTGACTAGAAGCCTTACCGATAGCATGAAGTCGATTAACACATATTTTGTATCATATATATTATATACTGTATCCTTATAACAAAGTAAGCTAGAGAAAAGGAAATGTTCAGAAAATCATAAGAGAAAATACACTTATAGTATTTATTGGAAAAAATCCGCATGTAAGTGGACCTGTGCAATTTAAACCTATATTGTTCAAGAGTCAGCTATAATTTTAAGGTGGGGTATAGGGGTTCTGATTGGTAGTGTTCTGTAAAGAAAGAAAGCTGAGGATCCCATGGTTCAGAATGTAGGTCTTAACCCCGCAGTTTTCAAACCCATGCCTCACTCTTAGCACTTTGACTAATTTCCAAAATTTGGAGCCTATCTACTTGGGTTTTTCTGGAGAATAAGCTTTTGGTATGTTGTGATTGCAGGGGCTAGGTATTACATGTGATGACTGTTCTAATTGACTATAGTCTATAGGGTCTACAGTTTGAGGGAAAAGTAAGAGATTTTTTATGATTAAGCAAGGTAATATATATAAAGTGCTTTGAGCAGACATTCAATACATATTAGTACTTATTTGCACCAGGCCCACTCTGTTGGACTGTTCAGGCCCGTGTACTGTTCCGCTAACTCCCAAGTACATATTCCCATAGACTACAGTATAATTCTTCTGATGGGATTTTGTGATAAAAAAGATACATTTGTTGTCTCATCATATTAAACTGTAAGTCTGAAATACTATCAAAACAACTTTTTTTTTTAAGTAATCTAATGAGAAAAAAATTGGAGAAATGGAAAGAAAATTGTTCTAATCTCCTTATCTGGTACTTTTCATAGTGTAATATTCTAACCACTGAAGGTTTTTGGTAGTCTATTAGGTATTTTGGAAGTGGTTATCAGTTTCAGTGGGAAAAGGCATAAAACAATTTTTATTCACATGTTTCAGAAATATAAAATTTAACATTAATTTTTACAGAATTCCAGTACTTTTTAAAATACTTATTTTGCTCATAAAGTTTTTGCATGTGCTGTAAGCACTTCATTGGTCAGTTAGTGTCAAATAATACTCAGGTAACGGCATGCATGGAGTTAGATGAGGACACATTCATGTTATGGACCTACTCTGTGCCAGACACTTGTTCCAGATCCTGTGGAGACAGAAGTGAACAAAGAAAAAAATTCTTTTCTCATGGAGCTGACATTTTAGAGCATAGAAAGACATTAAACAAAATAAATAAAATGAGTTTCTTGCTACATGTTGATACATGTTGTAGAGAAAATTAAGTAGGAAAGGGGCTAGAGAGTGCCTAAGGGGTTGGAGAAAAGGGTAATGTAATTTAAAATAGAGTAGACAGGGAAGTCCTCCTAAGGTGACTCAATACCTGAAGCAGGGTGATTAGAGAGCATTACTGGAGGATAGTCAAGTACAAAGTCCTGGAGACCGTAGTATGCCTTATGTGTTTGAGAAACAGCAAGTGGAGGCAAGTGTGGCTGGAACACAATAAGATAAGGGGAAAATGGTAGGAGATTAGAGGAAATAGAGGGTAATTTCACTAAAGCCTTGGTGGCTCTATTCTCTCTTGATTTGTGATGTTCCTTTATTCTGAGCATCAAGTGGATAAAGTATGTAAGAAAAGTATACATGTAATATCTAGCACTTCACATAGTAGGTGCTTACTGAATGTTTATTCAATTAATTTAAATTGCAAGATGTATAGACATATTTTAAAGGTCCTGTGTTCCCTTGCTGAAGGAGCACTTCATTTTTAACTGCTTCATATAACATAATTCAAGATTCTGCTCTTCCTC